CACCATCTTTTTTCCTCGCCTTAAGTTGATGCCCGGACTCTATCTTGCTTGCTTGAGAACTGGCATCATTGTTTATAGTTGTTGTTGTACTCAAACTTGTGCCCGAACCCGCCAAAAAATCTTCTGTACTTGGTCTCAGTTCCTCTAGAGATTCTGGCCTAATGGCTTGAGTATGGGCATAAGTATCAGTAAGTTTTTACCCTTTGCAGGCTATTGGCCTGTATGAGTGTTTCTAGGACTCACTTTAATATATGTTTTTAAGGAGCTAGTTGATTCAGATCCGAGAGTTTTTGTTTTATCTAAGGTTTTTAGACCGATTTTTTTTCTGAGTTATCCAAATTATTCATTGATTTTTTTCTGAATTTTTTTTTCTGTTTCTTGATAGCGTTGTGTACCTACCACTAACCTTATCATCGCAAGAATTTGTTACTGGGATTTTTTTCAGAAACGTTTCCCGATTGATTTGTAAAGCCGGTTGCAGCTTCAGAGTACGATCCATGTTTAACCAGTTGTCCTTGACCTAAATTATCTGATTCAGACACTCCTTCTGGTAACTCGCTCATAAGGGAATCTAAATCATCCGAATCCCTTTGATCCGCTGGTATGACTGAATTGGCAATGAGTGTTTCTAGGACTCATTTCAATATAAACGTTTTTAAGGAGCTAGTTGGTTCAGATCCGAGAATTTTGTTTTACCTGACAATTTTAGACCGATTTTTTCTGAGTTATCCAAATCATTCAGTGATTTATTTCTTGAGTTTTTTTCCGTTTCTTGATAGCGGAGTTAGATTCATGAACTTTTCCCAAACTTTGTTTTCTCAAAAACTACCCTATCAAATCTGAGATCAAAGATATATTCGAAGGAACCGGATGCAAGAAAGAATTTTTCCAACAGAAGTCGCTACTCCTTAGTTTTTACTAGTAAACTTGTATCTTTCAAAAATTCCCAATTTCTAAAATTTTCTCACTTTCCAATTTTTATCACAGTTTTGTTTACTTCTCGAAAGTAACCCTGCCAAATCTGAAATTTAAAGCTCTATCGTAAAAACAGTTTATGATAATTTTCCTGGCTTAGTGATTTCGCGCGCACGCGGTTCGGTGAAAAGAACAGTTCGTGAGAATAGTCCACTGACCTATCAAAATTAGTTTTAACTGCAACTTATGTTTCTAAACTAGACAAGTGGCCTATCATTTATTTTTGTAGAGAAACAACTAAGATTTTGGGTAAAAGCTAGTTTCCATGTGCCACTAGTTTGCCATGGGAATGGTAGTGTTGCTAATTTCTCAAGCCTTCAAAACGATTTTTCATTTTTTGATATCAAAAAATTCCCTACTGCTATGAGATTGTTATTAACAAGTTTAATTTGCATGCTTCCATTGGGTCAAATAATTGATTTTGTCGCTCCGTGCTTTTTTTACTATGACTTGCTGTATAAAAAATATGAATGTTTCCAATTTTGAGTGTCCGAAAAGTCAGTATGGTCCGAGTTATAAAATTGACTAAATAAAAGTTCCTAAATTTCGGCTTTGGCTCGCTAAAAAAAAGAATTCGAAAGCAGTAAGTCTGAAGTTTCGGCGGGATTTCAAACATTTTCTGCTTTGAGTTCGAAAAATTTCAAGTTTTTGATCGGTGTATGAAAAATAAAATTTATTTTCTAAGGAAGAAAGTTTAGTCCTATTAAGAGGTTCGTCCAAATTTCAAATCTGAGTCAGAAAAAAGACCATGGCTCCGAAAAACGTCAGTGTTTGGTAGCTTTTGTCAGTTTCGGACTGCGTCTCCCTTATAGTCTATGTAACAATGTATTTCTGCTGAAATTTGTCATTTTGGAGCTATGTTCTATAGTTTTATCGTTTTCATTGTGTTAATTCAAGTTATACTACCTCTGTTTTTCTCGATCATCTTTGAGTTGAAGGATTATTTAGAATGAAACGTGGGCTCTGAAAATGTACTTCGCCACTGCCCCCTCAATTCTGGTTGCCAACATTTTCCTAAGAGTCCCCATTTTGGTACTACCATACGATATCCATTTTAGGTCGAATAATTTTAAAAATATATTAGAAGTTTTCCAAAAACTGCCCTACAGCGTCCTTATTGGCCTCTTTTTCAACTATTTGTTTGTGGTGCGAAATTGTTTTGCAAAATAGGGTCTTATAAGGATTTAAGGGGAGCTCAGAGAGTTAACTTGATTGACCTAAAGAAAGAACTCAAAAAAAATTCGAATTTGATTTTGACCGTTGTGAAGGAGTTATTATGACATGGCTAAACATTCTCCTAACTCTTAAAGGGCTTATAGAGAAGAGTGTGTCTGCAGCAACCTATTCCATTCAGTTGTATTTTAAATCTTGAAAACGTACTAAATATACTAAATATGAAATTTGCTGAGTTTTTTGTGCAGAAGATAACGCGTTGACAGAATATCAATTCAATACACTAGTTGTAAAGAAATTCAAAAAGGCTCGAACTTCGTTTTTTAAACAAAATGTGTTTTTTTTTTAGTAAAGAGGATGGACTTAGTTAAATGGGCGATATAATAGCTAAGTTATACAAGATACTTTTTTCGATAGTTTTTTTTGGAATCCGGAAGACCTATTTAATATGGCACCACTCTTGATTTCATGTGCGTTTTCCTTGAGTTATCTAAATTGGGCGAAAAAGCATGAACCACCCCCTTAGTTCATTGCCGTCTTTCAAGTGACATGGTCAGAACGACAATGCCATTTTTACCTACAATAATATATACCATCAGTATATACCTACAATAAAAGAAATTATGGCTACAAGAATAATAAACAATTGAAGTCGGATGAAAACAATAGCGTCCTGAGTTATGTAAAAAAAGTAAGTGTTTCAAAATTCTAACCCAGACTATCAAATCAGTTTAATTCACAAAATGTTTTGATGAAAAACAAAATCGCTGAAAATTTAAGATGGGGTATTTAGAGGGTAAACTTTGAGCCGATTACATGCTTATTAGTCTCAAAAACGTCTAATATTGAAGCGCAATATATCGTGAAATCGAATTTGGCTTTACTGTGTTGGCATAACTATTTTAAAAATTCACTCCCAAACAAATTGAAGGGTAAACAAGAGGAAGGGGGGTTAAGTATATAAGGATAGAAAAGTGGTTTAAAATGGGAGGGGGGATTAAAGAAAGGAGGACACCGTTTCTCTCGGCTCGATCAATTGAACTTCAAGAATTGAAAATTTTTGGGATCTAAATCACGACTGAAATGACTTTAGAATGATCCTGCACTTGAAATGTTACGAGCCTTTTTTAAAGCACCAGAATTTATCGAAAAGTAGCATATATGCAGCTCGAGCTTAGTATTTTATGCCATTAAGTACTTATGATAGTTATGCGCAAATAGAAAAATACCCGTATTGCTTCTGAGCCTGAAGAATTTATCAAAAACAATTTTATTATAATTTTAAAATGGTATCCATTATCGACCGATTGACCCCAGAAGAACCGATTGACCCCAAAAGAATAGGGTCAAACAAAAAAGAATTTAATCGGTCGCTAATAAATACAATTTTTGTTTTGGAAGGAGAGCGCGTCAAAAACAACAGCATTTGTGATCAAACACATCAAAAAGAGTTGAAAAGTACAGAAGCAAAGAGTCTGTACAGGGGCGGATCTAGGATTTTCTCGAGGGGCGGGGCGGATTTTCAATAAATTTTCGAAAATATGACGACCTTTTTTTAAGTCGACCAAATTGATTTTCCGAGCTCTCCTAAAGCACTAAAAAGACTGTTTTGCCAAATTTTTTGCGCCGCAGACAGATTTTTGAAATAAACAGGTCGAAAAAGCCGTTTTTGGGCACTTTTTGGCAAACTTTGACCTAAAAATCGCGTTTTTTTTGGCGCGCGCTCCCTCTCAAAAATAGTATATATTGGCACCAAAGGCGCCTTTAGAAAATGTTTAGGGTCCGCCCTCTCGCCCCCCCCCCCTAAATCCGCCCCTGGGTCTGTACAGTGAGTGTTCTATAAAATCATTTCGGTCGACCTAAAAAAAAGGTCTTCAAAAGTCATCGCCTTGAGAAAAGATTAAATCTGCGACTCACCTACTAACCAAATTTTTGAAAAAATTAAATGAAAAAATTTCACATTTTGTGCTGATTTGTGGTTGTTTCATTTTAATTGGCTTTTCCTATGTTTTGAAACATTAACTGTATTATTTTATACAACGTCGCAATTACCAAACTTTCAGCTATTGATTAGATGCGAAGTACTTTTTGTTCCAATTTTCAAAGAAAGGAAGAAACGTTTGCGCTCGGTGTTGTTAAATCTTCCGAAAAATTTTTAGTTAACAATTTTTGACGTCATTTTTTATCCCATTTGATGATATACTGTCGCGACACAGTCGTTTCATTTTGCTTCCTAGTGTTTAAGTCAAGTACTAACTGTATTTTGTGCTATACTCTGAAACGCACTTTGAAGAAGAAGTGAGGCTATGAAATTGCAGATGGGTGAACTACATTGACTTTATGAGCATAGAAAACTGTTGCCTGACTTTTCAATGTTTTCAAGTTCACAGTTCTTAAGTTCAAATTTGAAGTACAGCCAAAGGCTAGTTTTCAGTGTCACAATTTTTTAGCATTTAATTTTAATGCATAGCTTGGCTGTGTTTAAGAGTGCAATAAAATTTTTGGTGAACGAGTTTCCCTTAATTGACTAACTTAAACTTAAAATTGAATACATGAAAAATTCTACCCAAAATTGCTCTGCTATTTTTTCAGTATCGTAATCGAGTGCATAAGTTAGCCTAATTTTTCTTCTTCATCGTCATGTGATTAAAATTCCATCATTTAACAATTTTGTTGAAGCTTTATCAGGCATTGAAAAATCAAAAATTGGTATCGAGTAACTTCAAACGCTTGCAGTCAATTTATTCGCTAATTGCATTACGTAAACCGCCTAAATGAAACGATATTACATTATACATGGTGTTTCTCTACTAAATACGTGTTGGTAAAAAAACGTTTGCTTTTTACTTACCTCTTTCAAAGATATCTCTAGTTGAAATTCTGTTATAAATTCGTAGTTATTGATGCCGAATAATCAGTTATGAAATTGTATACCTTCAAATAGAACAAAAGATGAACTGGTGAAAGATGGAAAAGAGAGTGGAGAATTATTACGGCGAGGTGTATGACTTCAACGTACACGTTAGAGTCTGTCTCAATTCCCAAATTTCCAAGAACTATGGACTCCCAAAAGCAGACACTTTGTAAGTACACTCATTGTAGTCAATTTAGGACAAAGAATGACATAAAAAATTGCGTATTTTAAAGTCTTTTGTTGCAATTCTAGCCTCAAAAAATGCTAAACCTTACCTGTTGTTTTATAACATGCCAACAGACAAAAATTGAGATGATTAAACTACAGTTTACATGAAAAACCAGGATAGCCGTTACTGAGCAAGTAGCGCAGAATGTTCCAACCATTATCTTGAAAAAAATACGAAAAGTTTTTTGAAATAGTCGTTTTTTTCTGCGTTGTATGATAAAAGGATCAGAACAAAAAGTTAGAATTTAACCATATTCCCTAGTCATACCAAAAAAGGCTAATTGCAAAACAGTTTTTGTTTCCTAAGAAGTTTTTGTTTCTAAGATGGCGCCAAAAATTCCAAAAACTAACTTTTTTGAGTAAAGTCAGGGTAAACCTGCTCACTCGCTCGAAATTAGATGAAAAGTCTAACACTTCACCTTGTTTTTTCTCGACTCTGGGAAGTTTTTGGGAAATATAATGTCGTTCTAAACACGACTTGAAGGGCTTTAATATGATATATGACTCGACCCAGTCCGACGATTATTTGGGGTACCTGATTTTTTGTGAACAAAAAATTGAAAAAAACTTAAAGCACACCCAAGTTCAAAGTTCCTCCCCATTTTCAATAGTAGGATCAACTACAAAATTCGGTCGCTATTCTCATCAAAAAATTCTGACCACAACCAGACTGCTCGTATCAGGGCGAAGCCCTGAATGTTCCGACTGCTTTTGAAGGTTTATGGAGCAGCAGTAATAACATAAAAAACATTATATGAAATAAAATAAAATGAAAAATTTTTTTTCTAAATTTTGAAATTTTTTATAAAAATCATCTCCCCACACGCCATATAAAGTACAAAAAGATAGTTTTCGTTCCTTGTAACACATCAATTATGGCAAATAAGCTTCGTTCAACCAATTTGGAACGATTTTTAAGACGGATTAAATCTCCGCTTACGCGTTAATAGCGCAAATTATATGGCGCGTTAATTGTCCCAAATTGGTCAAAATGGCAATCTTTAAACCCTCATAACTTTACGAAAAATGATCACAGGTAAACTATCTTTTCAAATTTAAGCTTAGGACAACAATACCTTTTGAATGATATCTAAAAAATTCCTTCAAAAATGGCTAGTTAAAAAGTCGAAATTTGTCTGAAGAAAAAAAACACACCCGAGCTCAAATATTCCGTTACTTTCGTATCGAAAGTCGGACAGTCATAAGAAAACTAAGAAAAAGTCAAGGAAATGAAACTCTTAAAACTAGTTTTCTTTCTTGTAGAATCAATTTTTCGCAGCCTAACTGACTAATTTGCAACAAACGTCACTTAATTGCTTCACTTGCTCGAAATTCAATGGTCGGAAAAATAAGCAAGGTTAATTTGGTTGAAGGCCTCAGTCCATACCAGAGAAGAAATGCAAAGCAATCAAATTTAGTATGAAAAATTTTGAGCATGAATATTTTTGATGCACCAAGTGAAATTAACAAGTTTCGCTTATAATTGAAACTGTTTGGTTGAATAGAAATAGTCATGAATTAACTTTTGATTCATTAAAAACTTGGCGAACTTCTATCCTTCTTATACACTAGTGCACAAAATTAAATGCAAACTAAGGATTTCACTCAGTAGAATGCCTAACTTCGAGGACCATTTTGGAAAATTTTCATGTGAAAACCTAAAGCGAGTTGGGTAGTTGTCGTTACATTGACACTCTCGTTTAAATTTTTCACATCGCATGATCATCTTTTGCTGCTCCGTTTATTCCAAAAAGTTTTCACTACCAATAAAATGTATTAAAATGATGAAGATTGGATTTTTCAAACCCGGAATTACCGGTAAGTGCTCAAAATCAAAAGTTGAGACGCAAACTTAAGTTGTTGTCTGGCGAGGTAGAAGTTATGTTTTAGTTCTAAGTAGATATTGTCCTTAGAACAAACTTTTTTTCAATTTAAGCTCGGATACTATAACTGGAAGTCATATTGAATTCGTGTTTGATCTTGCGGGTAAAATAATTCCCAGAAATTATTGCCCAAATTGTTTTTGATTTTTTTTTTTAATTGTGAACAAAAACTTTCTGCAATTTAGATTTATTTATCAGAAACTTGGTTCTTTTTATTTCATTGTTAGTTACAAGAAAGCTATGAATTGAGCCTGATGTTTTAAACTATCTGAAACTGTGATTTTATTAGATTCAATTCGTTTTTTCATCAATGATTCCATTGCCTATTCTCGTTTGTTAGGACTATAGACTTGAACTAGTTAAACTAGTTGTTAACCCGAAAATAAGTTCAGGTGAAAAGTTTGCGGCTATGCTGAAATGCTCAATTTCAAGAAAATACAAATTTAACACTTATTTTCCTTCCTTCTGGTACAAGCTATATATAGAACGCAAACCGTTTATTTCTAAACATAAAGTGTCGATAATTATTTTTAGAGTGTCGATTAGTCGTTTTAATTCTGTCGGCCTATTTAACGATTTTTTCCTTTAAATGTCCAGTAGTACTGTTGATATTCATAACACTCAATTTGAATACCCGAAGTCACCGCACTAGGAACTGTTTTGAAAGATTTCTCGTAGATTTCAATTGTAACATAGTTCGAAGATCTGTTTGCTAATGATTGAGCGTCATGCTGCTTTCGTCCTACAGTTATTGTATCGCAGGTAGTGAGAAGCTCAGCTTCGCCTCTGTGTCAAATGACCTTTCATAATGTCCAAATCAAATGTAGAAAATAAATTGATCGTAGTTAGTCTAGAAAAATTCGAATATTTTTCAGAAAAATGAAATTTGTTGCGGTTTTGAAATTGTCAATTTTTCAAGTATTATTTTATATTGCATATTTATTTGTAGCGCAAGTGGTACGAAGCTTGGCATTGTTTTGTGAAAAAAAATTTCCTGTTATTTCTCTGAAATTACCGAAATATAATTAAAAATTACCGAGAATTTGGTTTAAAACAATTTAGGGAAACTAATTTCTGGCTGTGGTTTTTCTGTTTTAGACGCCTGGAGAAGCTGTTCAATTTAGACTTGGTGGTAGGACTGCATAGCCACTGGGCACGCAAGAGACTCGCTCAGTGCGAATGTCAGTTGTACACTTACTAGCAACGCTATAAAGTATATTACAGGTCTGCTGAGAGTATTTGTAGAAATGTCTCTTTTTGCTTCAGATACGAAGTTGTTCGATCGACCAGAACTCAGAAGCTTCTTTCTCCAAGAGGTAGTCGTTTTGAATTTATCTTTTTTGAATATCAATTTGGAAATCAACTGAGGTTGGGAGTTTTTTGAGCGTCTCTTTAAACACCTTGAGTCCGACGTACGAATTAGCAAATCGTATTTGAAGAAACCTACCAAATTGAGTTGACAAACTATTGCTTTTCAGAACCTCACCCTGTTCCAATATCAGGATGAACCGAATGTTCCGACCTTGTCTCAAAGGTGGCACCCTGATGACCAGAAAAAGGGTAGGAGAAGTAGAAGGAAGGACACAAATGGTCAACAAGGAGGGGTTCGAAAGAGACGGGCAAGTGTCAAAAGCAGGACAAAGAACACAGGAACTGCAGGAAAGAAAAGAGACAAAGATTCCGCTTTGGAATCGGGCACAAACTCACAGGAGGTAAAGATTTTGGTCGAATGCATATAATTCAGTACTAATTTACAATTGATGCTGGTACTACTATGATAGTTTGGTCCCTTGAAAATAACCAGGTTCCTTAAGAATAACATAATTCGCGATTTTTGAAATGAATAGTTTATATACAAATAAGTTTTCAAAATTACTGCATGCGGGACCTGTATATCATAGTTGCTTTTTCGAGGAGCCATTCTATCGTAGTAGTACCTTGATGCTTGAGCATAAGAAAACGGGCTGAAGTAAGACACCTATGTCCTGTGATGAAAATAAAATGTAATCTGCGACTATTTTCATTGAAGTTATAGGGATTAGAAAATTGTCAGAATTAAAAACGTGGAAATTTAATCGGCTGTGTTGTCGCGTAGCGTCGAAGGTGTTGTGTATTCTCATGATGGAGAGATCAATGAAGAGATCAACAAATCAGGTTCTTATTGCTTCGACCATTCGAAAAATGTGGAGAAACTTTGTATTCGTGTGCTTAAGTTTTTTCTTTTTGTTTTCCACGCAAAATTAGGCACTATAAATAATCCTTGCAATGGGTCGAGAGATATATAATTTTAAAACCCTTTCAAATTTGATTCGAGCGATATCAAAAGTTTTCAAAAGTTTTTTCAGTGTCGAGAAAAAAACGAGTTTGAAATTTTTGATTTTTTGTCTAATTTCGAGCGAATTTTTCTAATTTCGCGTCTAATTTGAAAAATGTGGAGAAACTTTGTATTCGTGTGTTTAAGTTTTTTTGTTTTTGTTTTCCACGCAAAATTAGGTAACATAAATAATCATTGCAATGGGTCGAGAGATATATAATTTTAAAACCCTTCCAAATTTGATTCGAGCGATATCAAAAGTTTTCAAAAATTTTTCAGTGTCGAGAAAAAACGAGTTTGAAATTTTTTATTTTTTTGTCTAATTTCGAGGGAGCGCAGCGATCGAGCATGCTTATTTATGCTTAATTTAGTCCGTTTACAATAGCTGATTTATGTTTAGTTTTAGTTTTCCGCGAGTATAATTAATTTTGGAGTTTTTTAAACTCCAGTTTGAGAATCAAAATTTTTTAAACTCCAGTTTGAGAAGCAAAAGCACTGAAAAAAATTTTTAGAAAAAAGATTTTTTTGTTTTTTTTTATTCATTATTCTTCAAAACTGTTGTCTAGTTTGCCGTTTTACAATGACTGTCGAATGCGTCTTCGTTTTAGGTTTTGACCAGATCTTTTCAGCACACAAGGCAGAAAAAATACACTAATTTAAAAAAATTGTTAGTTTTTTATTAATACGGTGTGAACATTCTGTGCTACTGGCACACTAACTAGCTATCCTTGCTGAATGGTTTTCGACTATATCGAAGTCAGTATTAGCAGAAAACGAAAAATTTTCTATACAATCCGTGCAGCTATAATTACACAAGCCAAGCATCGTGTATTACTACGAAGAATTTTTTAAAGGCAATTTGAAGTATATTTCAATTTAAACATACATAATCTTACTTAAACTTGAGAAATTTAATGGCATATATTGCTGCTTTATTTTTGGCTATCTTAAGGTCCTGTTTGAAAAAATATGTATACTGAAAATGTATAAGATTTGTGGTTTTTCATTTTGAAAAAATTTGCACTTTTCGCAGAAATTTCATTTTTTTTTCAAAAACTACGAAACAAATTTAAAAAAATGGCATACGTTCTACGGCCTTCGAATATTCAATAGGGTACTTTTAGCCTATTTGTTTTTTTAATTTGCTCGAATAGTAAACGCACAAATTGAAGATGAGGGTTTCAGTCAAAACAACAAATAATGGGGATCTCAATTTCTCAAGCGGTTCTTTTGTGGAAAAAATTTTATGCCCTAAAACAAACCCATTTTTTGAGTTTCTCAAAAAGTACCCTGCCAAATTGGAGATTGACTGTTAAAACAAAAAAAAATCAATTTTGCGAATTTCACTTGCGCAACGGGCTATGCACTGCATTTTGAAAAAAAATGCCTTAGATAATCTATATTTTCTGAAATTTTGCCCGCTTTTGGAGAGTTATTTTTTTTCAAAAATTAACCTGCTGGTTCTGAGGTTGAAAGTTCAGTAAATTAGTATGGTTTTTCGATTTTCCCTACGTAATCGATTTTACCTTTTTTTTGCAGAAAAGCTGATCTTAAAAATCAGGGTGCGAAAATCTTCAATTTGAAAATCAGTGTGTGAAAGCAGATTTTAATCCCATGCTTATATGGAGAAAAGTTTATCTATGAAGGAAAGTCAAATTTTTGAACTTTTGACCTGATTCTTCACCGGAAACAACTTAGCCAAATCTGAGGTAAAGACTTCAATTGAAAGACCGAATACTAATTTTCTCCTTCGAATCAGCGGTTAATACCCTAATTAAGCAGAGATAAACAAGGTTTTCGCAATTTTTTTTTTTGCCCGTTTGAGGGTGTCTTCTTTCTTGAGCCGGCGTGTTTTCATCAAGCTCTTCACTTCAAATATCCAAGTTTTCATTGGTCTTCCTTTGGGTCTCTTTCCTTCCACTTTCAGGTCAAGTGCCAGACTAATCGGGTCTGCGGTGTCTCTTCGCATAACATGACCGAACCATCTCAATTGACTGGTCTCAACCTCACTGAGCACAGGGCAATCGATATTCAAACGCCCAAAAAGTTGCTCGGTTGGCACACGGTCCGCTAGAGAGACTCCACACATCATTCGCACCATGCGTCGTTCAGTAGACGTGATGCGTTGTTTAGCCGACGCATTTAGTGCCCATGCTTCACATGAGTACACAAGGACTGGTCTCACGCACCGGAGTTAGATTATACCCCGCTGGTGCAGGGAAAGGCCTTGTTTGCCCAGCAGAGTGCCCCGTAGTTTTCTGAATGCCAACCAGGCTTTTTGTATCCTGTCAGTTACAGTGACTTCCATATCACCACTTGCATCTATGCAATGGCCAAGATAGGTGAATTTGCAGAATTGCTCGAGTTCCCCAAAGTCTATTTCAGTGCGAGACTGAGTGTCCTGACAGCCTGTACATGCTGAGCATTGAAAAATTTCAGTGAATTCGACTAAGTTCCCGCGCAGCCCATAGCAACGCATATGCACCCACTTTTTGCATATGGCGCACATGATGGAGTTAGCGCCAACTCGCTTGCCACAAAACTGCAGGGGTCGAGCGCAGGCATACTAAGAACTTTAGCTTTACCAACGTTCACTTTCAGGCCTTTGCGCTCCAATGCTGTTTTCCAGTCGTGATACTTTGCAAGCACCTCTTCGACTGTTTCACCCGAAAGTGCAATATCATCTGCCTACAATAGCTCCATGATGTCATTTCTTCGCGCCGACTCGGTGACGTACTGCTTGACTGCTATGAATAACAGAAGGCTCAGGATAGAACCTTGATGGACTGCCACAATGACTTCAAAATATTCAGACATTTCACCGTCCACAAGTACCGCTGGTCATGTACCAGTATACACGGCCATAACTGCCTGCACTAGTAGCTCTGGAACTCCTTGGTACCGCAGTGCCTCAACAATGATTGTCCGCGGGACACGGTCGAATGCCTTCTCCAAATCAATGAAGATCCAGTGCAGCTTCTCGCTTTTTGCCAAATACTTCTCGCAAATTTGCCTTGTTACGAAGATCGCATCTACTGTCCCTCTTCCGGGCATGAATCCAAACTGTGTATCAGCTATTCGGATTAGCTTCCGGAGACGAGTTTCTAAATACTTCTCAACAATCTTGAAACCATGTTCCAGTAGCTTGATGCCACGATAGGAATTAGGCGACAAAGGATCCCCTTTACCTTTGTACAGCGGAACCAGTGCGCTATGCTTCAACTCCTCGGGCAAGGTGTTTTTCATCAGAACATCATTCGCAACTTCTCTTAACATCTTCACTCCGCAGTACCCAGCAGCTTCAATCATTGCAGTGTTGACCCCTGAGGGTCATGAAGCTTTGAAACCGTTCAGGTTTTGTATAGCTCGCTTCACTTGGTGTCGATGAACTCTTCGCAGGGTCCGCTGATTGCAGGTGTTTCTTCAGCAACGAACTCGTTCTCTTCGTTTATGATAACCTTGAAGTGATTTTGCCTAACTTTCTTCCGAGCCTCCGGGCACATATGCAATTTGCCATCATTACCTTTGATACAGTTTGAGCCAGTCACATCCAACTGTTCGCGTGCCCTTTGCTTCGCAATACTAAACAGGCGTTTGTTGTCTGTTTGTCTACTGCACGCTCAGCCTGTTCGCTTATTGATTTTCTCGCAGCCGCCTTGGCGTTCCGCCGCGCCGCAACGTAGCATAAATGATTTCGCTGCATAACATTGGCAATTTGATAGAATCTGTAGCTCCTTGTTTGGTAGCTTTTGTTAGTAAATTTATAAGAAGTCGTAGAGCAGATATGAGAACGTGATACTGCTAATCTCAACAAATTTCTTTTTCAAGGTGTATTATTAATCTATTCTTTGTTTTACTCTGTTTTACCTGTTTAGAGGTCTTTTTTTTGCAATTTCCTCGCATGTGATTGCGAAGTACAGCTTCGCTTCTGTGTAAATTAATTAATCAATATTTAAAAAAGTTTAAAAAAATTAATCAAAAAAGCGTATTTTGAGAAAAATGGGTCCGTAATGAAAATTTTTTCAAAAAGTTATCGAAGTTTTGCGAAAACGGGGGTTGGAAGAAAACGTGGTATTCCTTTCAATTTGGAGTGATTAAGGGCATCAATAAGAGTGAAAATATGTTAAATTCGCTGAGAAAATTGAGCTTTTAAAAAATTTTATAGCCTTTTCCTGGAACCAAAAGTTCTTAATTTGTAAATCTGAAAATATTTTTATAAATTTTTGTCTTCCTTTTTGTTAATCAGTTTTAGTCAACGAAAACAGATTTCCTTGAAAGCCATTACTGATGCTATTAGTTTGCTTATAGCGCCTCTTCTCGTGTACAAGAAAACACAAATTTGAAAAAAAAAAGCTTATACTGAAAAACAGCTTTGCCAGAGCCTTCTTTCTGTCGAACATGTGATTTCAAAGTTCTTCTCTGGAAGCCTAATTATGATGAGCATTATATTTAATTATTTTAACCATTTTTTTAGCAAGACAACAGCTACGATGCAGCTGGGAATTGGTTCGACTATTACGCCAGCCGAGACGACACCAATATGCCCCGCAGACCAGACCACGTGATCACGCGCACCCGCAACGACAGTCGCCACAATGACGACAGAAGCGACAGCAGTAGTTCACTCTCCCCTCTGCCCCCTATTGATTACAACCCATTCCCATCCATCATGCACAGGTAGGTCTGCACGATAATAGCATAGGATGAGTAGCGCTATTTTTTCCCTTTTAGTATCTGTCGTTACTTTTTGTCTGTTAGTTAGTGCATGAAGTTCATCGTGCGCTGTACTGTAACAAGAGTAGCCTGTGGCTGTTCTATTTTTGTTTTTTTTTCTTTCAAAGTGACACGATACAAGCGCAGGTTATCTTATGCTCTTCGGCTACTTATCTTCGCGTGGAAATGTTGTTAAAACAGAAAAAGTGTTATATACTCTTATATACATCTTGGTGATTTGTTTTTTTTTGACAGGAAAAAGTTGTAAAATTTTTCAAGCTCAAATATTATTTTTCGCGGTTTGATTTTAATTTCTTTTCAGCTCAGTTCACTTATAATAAAGGCAAATTCAACTATAGAACAGCAAAATTTCAAAGGTCTGAAAATCAAACTATGTGTAAACTCAAAGGTTTTGGATATTAATTGAATTATTTGAAAACAAAAACTATTAGGGATCAAGTTTTTGTCTGCCGGACAACATTTTTCTCATCAAAAATATTCATCAGAATGGGTCGAGTGATATATTATCAAACTAATGCATTCAAAAATAAACTCAAAAAATTCAAACTGGTTTTATCTCGAAACAAAAAAAAACTTTTTGAACGACTGAAAAAGCTTTAATATGATATATCAACCGACCCATTCTGATTATTATTTCTGGTATCTGTTTTTGCGAGGAAAACCACAAACTGCGACACACCTGAAAACAAAATATCTCCCCATAGTCAATAGTCGAAACGAAAAAAGTGGCGCGCAAGTGGTGCGAAGCTCTCCATTTTCAATAGTAGGAACAAAAAAATGTTGTCCAGCAGACGAAAGTTTGATTTCTAGCACCTATTTTTACCATTGAGATAATCAAGGGTGTTGCAACCGGGTACAAGACTTTTTTCCAGAAACATTTTTTGGCACAGAATGATCAAATGTGTAGGGATGGTAGATTTCAGACATGCTCAATTTCTTCTTTGAAAAATGAAATAAAACTACCTTCATTTAGGTAGTAAATAGATGTAGTCCGTTTCCGGTATTAGTTTGCTTTCAAATAAGCTTCCCGAAAAAATGCTTTTTGGCCTAGCTTCTGTCGGATTTTTTCCCGTTTCTTAAATGAAATTTGTTTTATTGGTACTGTTTTTGTTCGGCTATTTTGTTAAGCATGGTTTTTATTTTGAATGTTGTTACTCCTGTTGAAAGTTTGTAACTTCTCATTTTACCAAGCCTGATTTTTGAGAGTTTTATTTTCTCTATGTAATTCTTTCGATTACACGGTTTTAGTTTAATTTTTTATGGCATAATGAACTTATATTGCGTTATTTCAAGGGCAAAATTCTTCGACAAAATCAGGTATCTTCCACTTAATTTTTATTGAACCTTCACAACCTCAAGGTTCCTTCCAACTTGGCCTAGAGTTAGTGCCGTTGCTTTTGTTCCCTAAGGTCTGAAGATCGACTCTCGACTGGACCTTGTCTTTTTCAGTATATATGCAATTGAAAAAACTTCGGTAAAAATTGAATTGTTGGACTTCCGTTATTCTGCTAAATTTTTGTAGGCTTTGTTGCCATATCACAAATTTTGTTTGTCCTGTAAGCAACTTTCAGTGCAAGTGTTGTTCTTTGTAGGTTCAGGTAGGAGGACTTTAAACTTTTGATAATAAAAATTGAGCTTCGAAGATGTTGTTCTGATTGAAGACGACGAAGATAAGAGTTCTAGATGAGAGATCTATTTGTTCTTGATTACGCGGAAATGTCGAGAAAAAAACGAGTTTGAAATTTTTGATTTTTTGTCTAATTTCGAGCGAATTTTTCTAATTTCGCGTCTAATTTGAAAAATGTGGAGAAACTTTGTATTCGTGTGTTTAAGTTTTTTTGTTTTTGTTTTCCACGCAAAATTAGGTAACATAAATAATCATTGCAATGGGTCGAGAGATATATAATTTTAAAACCCTTCCAAATTTGATTCGAGCGATATCAAAAGTTTTCAAAAATTTTTCAGTGTCGAGAAAAAACGAGTTTGAAATTTTTTATTTTTTTGTCTAATTTCGAGGGAGCGCAGCGATCGAGCATGCTTATTTATGCTTAATTTAGTCCGTTTACAATAGCTGATTTATGTTTAGTTTTAGTTTTCCGCGAGTATAATTAATTTTGGAGTTTTTTAAACTCCAGTTTGAGAATCAAAATTTTTTAAACTCCAGTTTGAGAAGCAAAAGCACTGAAAAAAATTTTTAGAAAAAAGATTTTTTTGTTTTTTTTTATTCATTATTCTTCAAAACTGTTGTCTAGTTTGCCGTTTTACAATGACTGTCGAATGCGTCTTCGTTTTAGGTTTTGACCAGATCTTTTCAGCACACAAGGCAGAAAAAATACACTAATTTAAAAAAATTGTTAGTTTTTTATTAATACGGTGTGAACATTCTGTGCTACTGGCACACTAACTAGCTATCCTTGCTGAATGGTTTTCGACTATATCGAAGTCAGTATTAGCAGAAAACGAAAAATTTTCTATACAATCCGTGCAGCTATAATTACACAAGCCAAGCATCGTGTATTACTACGAAGAATTTTTTAAAGGCAATTTGAAGTATATTTCAATTTAAACATACATAATCTTACTTAAACTTGAGAAATTTAATGGCATATATTGCTGCTTTATTTTTGGCTATCTTAAGGTCCTGTTTGAAAAAATATGTATACTGAAAATGTATAAGATTTGTGGTTTTTCATTTTGAAAAAATTTGCACTTTTCGCAGAAATTTCATTTTTTTTTCAAAAACTACGAAACAAATTTAAAAAAATGGCATACGTTCTACGGCCTTCGAATATTCAATAGGGTACTTTTAGCCTATTTGTTTTTTTAATTTGCTCGAATAGTAAACGCACAAATTGAAGATGAGGGTTTCAGTCAAAACAACAAATAATGGGGATCTCAATTTCTCAAGCGGTTCTTTTGTGGAAAAAATTTTATGCCCTAAAACAAACCCATTTTTTGAGTTTCTCAAAAAGTACCCTGCCAAATTGGAGATTGACTGTTAAAACAAAAAAAAATCAATTTTGCGAATTTCACTTGCGCAACGGGCTATGCACTGCATTTTGAAAAAAAATGGCTTAGATAATCTATATTTTCTGAAATTTTGCCCGCTTTTGGAGAGTTATTTTTTTTCAAAAATTAACCTGCTGGTTCTGAGGTTGAAAGTTCAGTAAATTAGTATGGTTTTTCGATTTTCCCTACGTAATCGATTTTACCCTTTTTTTGCAGAAAAGCTGATCTTAAAAATCAGGGTGCGAAAATCTTCAATTTGAAAATCAGTGTGTGAAAGCAGATTTTAATCCCATGCTTATATGGAGAAAAGTTTATCTATGAAGGAAAAGTCAAATTTTTGAACTTTTGACCTGATTCTTCACCGGAAACAACTTAGCCAAATCTGAGGTAAAGACTTCAATTGAAAGACCGAATACTAATTTTCTCCTTCGAATCAGCGGTTAATACCCTAATTAAGCAGAGATAAACAAGGTTTTCGCAATTTTTTATTTGAAAAATCCATTTTGCTGAAAATTAAAAAATAGCCCTTTTCCGCATCAGCAAATATGTGTCTTGAAATATCAGAACAGGTAGATCTAGCCTTGGCTGGGCCACTAGTCTACTTTCAAACGAACGTGGTGCCGATGCGAGGCTCTGAGACTTCTAATCAACAGATCAGGTATTCAAATCCGTAATAGTTTTTTTTTTGGCCGAAATTTCGCTGCATCATCATCATCATAATTTCCTTCCGCCTTGTCCCAGTCTACTGAGAACGGCGGGCGCCCCTGAATTGCCGAGCGCCATGAGTCCCGTTTGAGGGTGTCTTCTTTCTTGAGCCGGCGTGTTTTCATCAAGCTCTTCACTTCAAATATCCAAGTTTTCATTGGTCTTCCTTTGGGTCTCTTTCCTTCCACTTTCAGGTCAAGTGCCAGACTAATCGGGTCTGCGGTGTCTCTTCGCATAACATGACCGAACCATCTCAATTGACTGGTCTCAACCTCACTGAGCACAGGGCAATCGATATTCAAACGCCCAAAAAGTTGCTCGGTTGGCACACGGTCCGCTAGAGAGACTCCACACATCATTCGCACCATGCGTCGTTCAGTAGACGTGATGCGTTGTTTAGCCGACGCATTTAGTGCCCATGCTTCACATGAGTACACAAGGACTGGTCTCACGCACCGGAGTTAGATTATACCCCGCTGGTGCAGGGAAAGGCCTTGTTTGCCCAGCAGAGTGCCCCGTAGTTTTCTGAATGCCAACCAGGCTTTTTGTATCCTGTCAGTTACAGTGACTTCCATATCACCACTTGCATCTATGCAATGGCCAAGATAGGTGAATTTGCAGAATTGCTCGAGTTCCCCAAAGTCTATTTCAGTGCGAGACTGAGTGTCCTGACAGCCTGTACATGCTGAGCATTGAAAAATTTCAGTGAATTCGACTAAGTTCCCGCGCAGCCCATAGCAACGCATATGCACCCACTTTTTGCATATGGCGCACATGATGGAGTTAGCGCCAACTCGCTTGCCACAAAACTGCAGGGGTCGAGCGCAGGCATACTAAGAACTTTAGCTTTACCAACGTTCACTTTCAGGCCTTTGCGCTCCAATGCTGTTTTCCAGTCGTGATACTTTGCAAGCACCTCTTCGACTGTTTCACCCGAAAGTGCAATATCATCTGCCTACAATAGCTCCATGATGTCATTTCTTCGCGCCGACTCGGTGACGTACTGCTTGACTGCTATGAATAACAGAAGGCTCAGGATAGAACCTTGATGGACTGCCACAATGACTTCAAAATATTCAGACATTTCACCGTCCACAAGTACCGCTGGTCATGTACCAGTATACACGGCCATAACTGCCTGCACTAGTAGCTCTGGAACTCCTTGGTACCGCAGTGCCTCAACAATGATTGTCCGCGGGACACGGTCGAATGCCTTCTCCAAATCAATGAAGATCCAGTGCAGCTTCTCGCTTTTTGCCAAATACTTCTAGCAAATTTGCCTTGTTACGAAGATCGCATCTACTGTCCCTCTTCCGGGCATGAATCCAAACTGTGTATCAGCTATTCGGATTAGCTTCCGGAGACGAGTTTCTAAATACTTCTCAACAATCTTGAAACCATGTTCCAGTAGCTTGATGCCACGATAGGAATTAGGCGACAAAGGATCCCCTTTACCTTTGTACAGCGGAACCAGTGCGCTATGCTTCAACTCCTCGGGCAAGGTGTTTTTCATCAGAACATCATTCGCAACTTCTCTTAACATCTTCACTCCGCAGTACCCAGCAGCTTCAATCATTGCAGTGTTGACCCCTGAGGGTCATGAAGCTTTGAAACCGTTCAGGTTTTGTATAGCTCGCTTCACTTGGTGTCGATGAACTCTTCGCAGGGTCCGCTGATTGCAGGTGTTTCTTCAGCAACGAACTCGTTCTCTTCGTTTATGATAACCTTGAAGTGATTTTGCCTAACTTTCTTCCGAGCCTCCGGGCACATATGCAATTTGCCATCATTACCTTTGATACAGTTTGAGCCAGTCACATCCAACTGTTCGCGTGCCCTTTGCTTCGCAATACTAAACAGGCGTTTGTTGTCTGTTTGTCTACTGCACGCTCAGCCTGTTCGCTTATTGATTTTCTCGCAGCCGCCTTGGCGTTCCGCCGCGCCGCAACGTAGCTTAAATGATTTCGCTGCATAACATTGGCAATTTGATAGAATCTGTAGCTCCTTGTTTGGTAGCTTTTGTTAGTAAATTTATAAGAAGTCGTAGAGCAGATATGAGAACGTGATACTGCTAATCTCAACAAATTTCTTTTTCAAGGTGTATTATTAATCTATTCTTTGTTTTACTCTGTTTTACCTGTTTAGAGGTCTTTTTTTTGCAATTTCCTCGCATGTGATTGCGAAGTACAGCTTCGCTTCTGTGTAAATTAATTAATCAATATTTAAAAAAAGTTTAAAAAAATTAATCAAAAAAGCGTATTTTGAGAAAAATGGGTCCGTAATGAAAATTTTTTCAAAAAGTTATCGAAGTTTTGCGAAAACGGGGGTTGGAAGAAAACGTGGTATTCCGTTCAATTTGGAGTGATTAAGGGCATCAATAAGAGTGAAAATATGTTAAATTCGCTGAGAAAATTGAGCTTTTAAAAAATTTTATAGCCTTTTCCTGGAACCAAAAGTTCTTAATTTGTAAATCTGAAAATATTTTTATAAATTTTTGTCTTCCTTTTTGTTAATCAGTTTTAGTCAACGAAAACAGATTTCCTTGAAAGCCATTACTGATGCTATTAGTTTGCTTATAGCGCCTCTTCTCGTGTACAAGAAAACACAAATTTGAAAAAAAAAGCTTATACTGAAAAACAGCTTTGCCAGAGCCTTCTTTCTGTCGAACATGTGATTTCAAAGTTCTTCTCTGGAAGCCTAATTATGATGAGCATTATATTTAATTACTTTTAACCATTTTTTTAGCAAGACAACAGCTACGATGCAGCTGGGAATTGGTTCGACTATTACGCCAGCCGAGACGACACCAATATGCCCCGCAGACCAGACCACGTGATCACGCGCACCCGCAACGACAGTCGCCACAATGACGACAGAAGCGACAGCAGTAGTTCACTCTCCCCTCTGCCCCCTATTGATTACAACCCATTCCCATCCATCATGCACAGGTAGGTCTGCACGATAATAGCATAGGATGAGTAGCGCTATTTTTTCCCTTTTAGTTTCTGTCGTTACTTTTTGTCTGTTAGTTAGTGCATGAAGTTCATCGTGCGCTGTACTGTAACAAGAGTAGCCTGTGGCTGTTCTATTTTTGTTTTTTTTTTCAAAGTGACACGATACAAGCGCAGGTTATCTTATGCTCTTCGGCTACTTATCTTCGCGTGGAAATGTTGTTAAAACAGAAAAAGTGTTATATACTCTTATATACGTCTTGGTGATTTGTTTTTTTTTGACAGGAAAAAGTTGTAAAATTTTTCAAGCTCAAATATTATTTTTCGCGGTTTGATTTTAATTTCTTTTCAGCTCAGTTCACTTATAATAAAGGCAAATTCAACTATAGAACAGCAAAATTTCAAAGGTCTGAAAATCAAACTATGTGTAAACTCAAAGGTTTTGGATATTAATTGAATTATTTGAAAACAAAAACTATTAGAGATCAAGTTTTTGTCTGCCGGACAACATTTTTCTCATCAAAAATATTCATCAGAATGGGTCGAGTGATATATTATCAAACTAATGCATTCAAAAATAAACTCAAAAAATTCAAACTGGTTTTATCTCGAAACAAAAAAAAACTTTTTGAACGACTGAAAAAGCTTTAATATGATATATCAACCGACCCATTCTGATTATTATTTCTGGTATCTGTTTTTGCGAGGAAAACCACAAACTGCGACACACCTGAAAACAAAATATCTCCCCATAGTCAATAGTCGAAACGAAAAAAGTGGCGCGCAAGTGGTGCGAAGCTCTCCATTTTCAATAGTAGGAACAAAAAAATGTTGTCCAGCAGACGAAAGTTTGATTTCTAGCACCTATTTTTACCATTGAGATAATCAAGGGTGTTGCAACCGGGTACAAAACTTTTTTCCAGAAACATTTTTTGGCACAGAATGATCAAATGTGTAGGGATGGTAGATTTCAGACATGCTCAATTTCTTCTTTGAAAAATGAAATAAAACTACCTTCATTTAGGTAGTAAATAGATGTAGTCCGTTTCCGGTATTAGTTTGCTTTCAAATAAGCTTCCCGAAAAAATGCTTTTTGGCCTAGCTTCTGTCGGATTTTTTCCCGTTTCTTAAATGAAATTTGTTTTATTGGTACTGTTTTTGTTCGGCTATTTTGTTAAGCATGGTTTTTATTTTGAATGTTGTTACTCCTGTTGAAAGTTTGTAACTTCTCATTTTACCAAGCCTGATTTTTGAGAGTTTTATTTTCTCTATGTAATTCTTTCGATTACACGGTTTTAGTTTAATTTTTTATGGCATAATGAACTTATATTGCGTTATTTCAAGGGCAAAATTCTTCGACAAAATCAGGTATCTTCCACTTAATTTTTATTGAACCTTCACAACCTCAAGGTTCCTTCCAACTTGGCCTAGAGTTAGTGCCGTTGCTTTTGTTCCCTAAGGTCTGAAGATCGACTCTCGACTGGACCTTGTCTTTTTCAGTATATATGCAATTGAAAAAACTTCGGTAAAAATTGAATTGTTGGACTTCCGTTATTCTGCTAAATTTTTGTAGGCTTTGTTGCCATATCACAAATTTTGTTTGTCCTGTAAGCAACTTTCAGTGCAAGTGTTGTTCTTTGTAGGTTCAGGTAGGAGGACTTTAAACTTTTGATAATAAAAATTGAGCTTCGAAGATGTTGTTCTGATTGAAGACGACGAAGATAAGAGTTCTAGATGAGAGATCTATTTGTTCTTGATTACGCGGAAATAGCGGGTCAAAAATTGGCCGTTCTGTTTTTCGATTCTGGCGAACCGTACTTATGTGTGAATGAAATCAATTTGTTTTTTGGCTCAACAGGTGTCTGCTCAAAGATTGTCGGCGTAGTTGCCACATAATTGATTTTTCTTTTATTTTACTGTAGACAACTCTCTTAGTAGTTTAAAAAAATTTAAATGGGCCCTTCCGTCATGAGACGGTACGTGCACAGGTTGGATAGGGCCGTACCAACGCTATATAGATACATCGGCAAAATTTTATGAATAAATCAAGTTGATATTAATGCATCAAGAGAATTGTCAATTAAAATCTACCCTCCTCGATTATAGCACAGATAGAATTGTCTATGTTGGATGTGTTTTTAAGCTTTTTGCACCCCATAAGGCAGAGGATTGCACTCCTCAGAAGTCCAAAACTTATTTTTGTTCTGATTAAGTTTATTGTGTCCGAGTATAATTCGCTCCGTTTCTCGCTTAGGTTCTCTGCTAGTTTCTGGATGGTTTTTGTAGAGCCTGGTGCTGCTCCTCCGGTATACGCAAAAATTAGTGGAACAAAGCTGCTGTATTCCACATCTAGAATTATTTGTTGGTATTTTAATGTTTTGACACTCTCATGATATTTGTAGGCGTCAGATATAGTTTTGGAGCAGGATTTAGCATGGGGGTTGAAAATTTTTAAATCGAAAAAGGTTCGGCTGAATCAGCCTCCCCAGAGTCCATTTGCCTTCATGTCAAGTCGAGCGTCATCATCAATAGTGGTTGTTTTGTTGTGAAAGCTTTCGCTTTCCAACGATTGAAGTTTCGGCTCTATTTCAACATCATGGCATACTTCGTCCAGGAGTATCGCAAAGGTATCGCGAATTTCATTATGTCTTAGGTGAGTGTATCCACCTTTGGGATGGGACAGTGTAGAGAGTGGGTCAGTGTAAACGGTTGTCCACATGGGCATGTATGTGGGGTGTTTGGTGGTTCCCATCCATATCTCAGATGTAATCCATCTTAAACTCTGATTTGTTGAGGGAAACATTGTATCTTTTGAAAGTAGTTGAAAGTGCAAGTGTTGTTCATTCTAGTCTCAGGTGGTACTTAAAACTGTAAACATTTTTGTTGTAAAGTTTTGTTCCGTTGCTAGTTTAATTTTAAAATTTCTGGCACGTTAGCCTAGAGTGAGTTTCTATCGATACATGAAAATTTAACTTTTGGTAGAACTCGTTTTTTCAGCGTTTTTCATTTTTTCGACTCATGTTTTTTATGTTTGTTTGTTTTATGTTTAATCGCAAGTGATTCGAAGCTCGGCTTCGCCTCTGCGTCAATAATGAAACTATAGTGCGGCTTTGTTTCTGCTCTCGAAACTGTTGATTATATTTATTTACTGTTTGTGCCTATTTGTTTCAGGAGAAAATCGAACGAAAGAATCAGGGACTTGAGAAGTGCCTCGGATGACGCCGACGCCTCACTGCACAACTACAGCCTAAGGAGGGATTCGCATAGTCACCGGAAAAGGTAGAAAGCTACCATTTAAACTACTTTGAAACGTGGATTGCTGGAATTTCTGAAAGCTTAAGATCATGTTAATAAATTTAAATATAGCCATGTCAAGAACTTTATCTATTTATCTATTATAATAAAGTAGAATGTATATTTAAAATCAGCTAGCTCTTTTCTCAAGAAAGAACAAATAATTATAGACGTTTTTAAATAAAACCCATTGTTTTTCGTTTAGCTTCCTATGTGGCAAGGTTTTGAAATAAGAATTTTTCAGCTTTCGTCATTTCTGAAAAATTTTGATATTTTCTATCTCTGGAAAAGGTTTCATCTACAGATCACGTGCTTCTGAGAAGCGAAGACGCAGCAGAGAAGATTACCCCAGTGGAGAAGACAGAAGACAGTACAGTGGAGGTGGCTATGACATAAGCAGGTGCAGAAGAAGGGAGAAGAAACAGGTGGTGCCGGTGGAGTTGACCAATAGGGAGACGGACTCTGGCTTCATGACGTGTGATGCGGATGTGAGGAAGCGAGTGAGTGAGTGGCAGAGGCGCAATGAGAGGTACAAGAGAAGCACTCTGTTGGCATGCGGCACGAACAGAGAGAGGTCTGCTGCATTTTACACAACTGAGTCATAAGTATTCAATTTGGTCGCCACAAAATTAAGACTGGGTGAAATATTTTTCAAAAAAAAGTTTTAAAAAATGCTTTCTCGAATTAAAAAAAAACTAGATTTTTGGTAGTATTTCGGATGAAAATTCTTGTAAAGAATAAAAACATTTAATAAAAAATGGTTTCAAACGTAAATAATCGGCCATACAAATTTGGAAGCATCTGTATTTTCGTACGTTTTTTTACGTCAGAAAATGACTCGCGGCACCTAAATTGTTTTTATACTCCTTGCAGCTGATTTTAGGTTAATTATTTGCTCATACTTCAATGGATTAGAGTGTGTAAATGTATATCTGCTCGTAGATTGAGTGTCTCTCCAGTGAGTAGTGAGAGTGAGAGTGAAGTGTCTCTCTATAAACACGATGGACTGCCCAGGGGAGACCCCAAACACGTACCCAGAGCAGGGAGCTACTTCGAGGTCAGTTAAACACTACTTTAAACCACAATAGTCACCATGTTTGTTTTGGTTGACCGCTTAGTCCTTGGACAGCATCCACCGATCCCTTTCGGAAAAGCCGAGTTTTTACGCAAGCAAAGCGTAGTGTATCATCACGAAGAATTTTTTTCAAACCTAAGTCGCAAATAAAAGTGTTCATTTGGTGGCATTTTAGGTATATTCCAATTTAATCATATTTAAGCCTATTTAAGCATAGGCAATTTAATAGCGTGTGTTGTTGCTTTATTTTTGGCTAATGCATTTTCACTTGCGATCAGCTTAGTGTGTTATTAAGAACCTTTTTTTTGTTTTTTTTTTGCTAATTCGAGGCTGATTTCTAATTTTTATTATTGCACTTTATAGAGCTGCTTTTTGTTGTGTTCTCGCAAGTGTTTGCGAAATTAAACTTCGCCTCTGTCTATGAAACATGTATGGCATTTGTCGTTTTTTGTTGTTTTTTTGGCAACGCTTTGAACAATTTTTGCAAGAAAATTTGATGTTTCTCAAAAACTACTGTACCGTTTTTCAAAAATGATAAAATTGGATAAACTGGCTGCTCTTTATGTGCCTGCATATTTCGCTAATCTTTTTTCATTTTATCCTACGTTCTAGGTCCTTCGAAAGTTTCAGTAGAGAGTTTTTGCCCTATTTGTTTTTCAATTTTTTCATTTTCTCAAATATTAAATGCACAAATCTGAGATGAAGGTTTCAATCAAAAGAACAAATCATTAGGATCTCGCATTCTCAAGCAGTTATTCCCTAATATTGGTAGAAAAAAGTTATGGCCTGAAACAAGCCCATTTTTTGACATTTTGGTTAATTGTGAAAACTTTTCTCAAAAACTACCCTGCAAAATTGTTGATTAAGGTTTTAACTGAGAAAAAAATCCAGTTAGGTGAAATCTTTTTTTTTCTGGATAAATGGTACATAAGTTAACCAATCAAGTCCAAATAAGACAGTGCTTAATAGAAAATTCTAAGCGGCGCTTCAACAGGTTGAATTATCTTCTGCGCTTGCTCAAGTTGATGCTCTTTCAATGATAAGGATTTGTTGGATTATTGCACAACTTGAAACAAATTTATTCATTTATTATTATTTTTAATAAACAGTTCCATTCTTTTTAGCGTCTCCTTAATTATCTAGCCCTGGATTTGACTTCTAATTGTAATTGAGTGGGGAAAAGTAAAAAATAGTAAAACACACGAATACTATGTTTCTGATATTTTTGACAGTGTTGTCATACTTTGCAAACTGTTCCAGCATGACGACAGGTCTTTCCGCAGATATAAACTCAGAAAGAGATACAGATCCCCATACCCCCAAAGACAGAGGAGAGACGGGTGGAACACGAACAGACGATGGCACCACTATAACCGAATGTCCCCCTCAACACACTACAGACGCTCGAACTTCTGGGATCCGTATCCACATCCCAAAAATCAGTTCCATAACAGCAACAACAAGAGAAGATACAACAACTATCAATATCCCAACTATAATTATCACCATGAATCCAGGTAATTTTATAAGATTCCATTCTGAAAGTATAGCTTTGTTCTTCTCATAGCTCAATCTTGCTATTTCAACTTCAATACTGCATCTTATATTAAATTATATCTCAAATCTAAAATGGTAAATTGTAAATTTTTATATAGAGTACCATTTGTTTGTTTCATTTAAATAATGTTTTCAAACGAATGGTTTTTAGGTATCATTCATGATATTTTGTAATTTACTATTTTCTTCAGGTACCCTATTAGGGCCATACAAGGGAGCAGGGACATGGCCATGGGCAGGGGTGGATGGGGGATGTACAGCGGGCGTCCGAAAAGGAGGCGGGAGGTATTCAGACCCACCCATCGCAACAACGGGGGAGTGGTGATCAGGATGAAGAGGAGGAGACAGAGACAGAGGGTTCCGAGGAGATACATGCAGCGATACGACAAGTAAAACGGACTTATGTTAAGACATATTGCTTCCAAAATTAAAGAGTCGATGAACGTAGTTCAGACTTTTGTATAGGTCGAGATGATTTTTCAAGGAAAAGTCTTAGAGTTTTTTCATGCTCAAATCTGATTATTTGCGGTTTGACTTTTGATTTATTTTTAAGCTCAGTTTTTTCTTTTTTGGAAGGAAGGCAAACTCTGTTATCAAACAGCGAAAGTGTAAAGTCACAAAAAATGTGATTGACTTCTAATTTCGAAAGTGGATTTTATTTTTAAGATTTCCCAGCAGAACAAAAAATTAACCTAATAATAGTTTTGTCAAAGTGGGTTAATTTCACCAAAAAGTGCTAATCAAAGTTTTTTCTTGAAATTCAAGGAGCTGTAATGCCACCTATTTTTATTTTGAAGTTCGAAACTGGTCTGTTTTTTCTGTTTCTTTACTGCTTTTTCGCTGTTTTGTTTTTGAAAAAAAAAATCTGATTTTTTTCTTCAAAATTTTCCGAAATTCTTTTTTACGAGAATTAGATAGGATAGGATTAGGTTTTTCAGGTGTGTTTCAAAAGAATCAATTGGAAAAAAAATAACTGTTCAATGTTTTTATTAAAAGTACGGTTAATTAGGTGAACTTATTTTACTCATGGTTATCTGGATTAATTTTTCAGCCATTATGAGAAGTGGATGCATGACAAGTATGACAGCTACGAGTCCATCAGTTCGGACAGTCTCAGCGAGTCAGAGGACGACCAAGAAGAAGATTATGACGATAGCGGGGAAGACAACGAGCACGAGGGTGCATTCGGGGGTCAACTGGCGAAGAGGAGGCTGAGGAGTCAGTGGGCTGAGCAGAGGGGGACTAGTGAACACCCCTCATTCCAGTATCAGGATCGCCGGAACATAGAAGGGGAGGAGTTTGAGGGCGGGGGAGGGGGAGGGGGAGGGGGAATGAGAGGAAGAGGGGTGATGGGGAGATGGGAGAATAGCTGCTACATATATGAGCGGAGACCTATGACTCATAGAGTGATCCACTACAAGTACAGGTGGATGGACCTCAGACACAAACTGAGTCGCAGAAGGATCAAGAAAGGTGGGTGGAGAGTCTTTGCACAATTGTTTCAATCTTTTTAAAGCCATCTGAAGTGCAAGGCGACCATTGGTCTAATGTGGCAATAGATTTTAAGCGACAATTCAAGGATTGTCGTCAGTTAAAATCTACCGGAAAAATCAACAGACGGGAACAAATATAAATCTAATACCTGGTGACTGCACATGCGCAATTATTACAGGATTTTTTGTCAGCACTTTCTGTTGCAAAAAGTTTAATTTAAAAAGTTTTTGGCTATTTCCTTGGCTAATGAGTAGATGAAATTAGGCTTCAGATTTCAAATTATATTAGCTCAAAGATACTAGGAGCAATTGAATGCAGAATAGAGAGTAATCTGTACCTACTTCTTATTTTGAATTGAAAGTTGTGCCTGATTCCCACAAACTTCGCACTTGTTTTCTTCAAACTAATTTTTTTTTCGAATTTTAAGCTTGAAGGAACGAAGTGATTTCCACATATTTAGGTCGTGACAATTTTATTTCTCATAAGAAGCCCTCAAAAATTGTTCACGCCGTAATTTCACTGTTCGGGGTTTGAATTTTGATTTCCATTTAAGGTCGGTTCATTTATTTTTTAAAAGGAAGGCAAACTCGACTATCGAACAGCAAAAATGTTAAAAGTCACAAAAAAAGTTATCGACTTCTGTTTTCGAAAGTGGACTTAAACTTTCTCAGAGTGAATATGAAAATACCGAAGATCAAAGTGCCAATCATAAACAGTTCTTGAAATTCAAAGAGCTTAAACGTGGTATATATATTTTTTGAAAATGGAAAACTTCAAAATGTTCAAATACTTTTTTCGTGTTCCTTGTTCTTGTACTTTTTTCCTGCTATTTATTTTACATGTTTTTATGGAGGCTGATGTACTGAAAGATGGAAGCCTAAATTGCGCCGACAATTTTCATTCAAGGTATGTAGAAGAAAAAGTTGAGTTTTTTTAGGGTTCCACGGAGTTCGCTGACTCTAACTTCAAAACCCCTCTATATGGAAAAACGCACCACGAAGACGAAGCCATCAACCGGGGAGTTCAGCACAGCATCTGCAGATCATTTGTTGTAGACAAATTATCAAAACTGTATAAAACATCCTGAGTTAGGACCGAAGTGTAACTCATAGAGTAATTTCGGATAGGGTACACCGTCTGCTCGTCACGCTATCTTATTTTCGGCCGGATAGATTCGTGCAACTTCTTAGTCTAATACCGATCCTAATCTTACTCTTATACTATTTAGTCTCAGGTTGTTTAACTAGTCTCTGCTAGGCTCAATAGATCTAGGGTATACTGGTTTATTGCGGCTGCTGAAGTGCTCGGGAGAGTCCAACTAATTTCTAAGTTAAATTCAAATCTCTCTGGTGCTGAAATTACAAGTAACTTCAGCACTTACAAATAAGTGGGTTGTTAGTTAGATGGATCATGATTGGTTAATATTAAATACTTTACATTGGTAAAACATTTAATTTATCCAATCATAAAATGTAGTTTAGATCAGGTTCCACCCATCCGGGTTTTACAGAGTTTTTTAGAACAGTTCTTCTGTAGTTCAAGGATGGATGATGGACGTTGGTATTTGGCGAACATCATAATTTTCTTCCGCTTCTTCTTGTGACAACGACTGAGTCTTTGCAACAGCATCAATTCTGATTTCAGAATGGTTGGCTATGTCAAGTTTTTCTGTTCTTCGGAGAGAACTTCTTTTGTGTTTGATCTAGCTTGGTAATGGCGTGGAGATTGTGCGTGGAGGGGATGCCTGGTTACTCGGATCTGTACGTATACTTGAACATCGAGGTGGTCATTGGTCTAGTTCAATGAAGTCCTTTTCTGCGAAGTCAAGTCGTACTCTAAATCCTTTGAGTTGTGATTGTGAGCGGCATATCGATTGTAGTTGGTCATTCTCTCTCGAGTGTAGTGAGGTCGTCTTGTCTTTTGATGTTCGTCCTTGGTGTTGTATTCTGATCTATATATTGCATCATGTGATTTTACATTTTATAAAACTTTTATTAGTTTAGTATTTTTTAATTATGATTTTAGTTAGTTGTTTTCACAAAAGCTTTTTGTTTTAGTTAGGTTATTTTGAAGAGTTACTCACCCTTGAGTAGCTCTTATTAAAAATAAAGGTGTGGTCACAAAGCGTGGATGTAGCACGGTGGGTTAGGCCGGCTATAGAGCATGCTCAGGACGTCCTTTCCTGGTGGGTTAGGCCAGGTGTGGGAGTATAATTTCATGCGGTGTTTGTGAGGGGTCCTGTTATGTGACAACGTTTTATGTTGGGTTTGTTGTGGTTTTACTTATGTCTTGTTGGTTATGTACTTTTTCTAAAAAGCAAATTGTTTGTGGTATGGGTTTGTCTTTCGACTTTTTTGTGTTTTATTATTTCTTTCTAAGACTTTGTAATAGTCTTCAAAAGAATAAATTATCCAGTTTTAAACTGGGTTAATCCGGTTTGGGTACCGTTGGTTTCCTTTTCTTAGTCATGCTGTTATTCTATGATTTGTGGTATGTAGTAAGCTGCGTTGGTTAGTTTTGTTTAGTATATGATTCCTTTCCAACCGGGTTAAAGGAAAGTTTGAAACATGTTATTATATGTTAGAGTTGTTGAGTGTGAAAACTTGAAACTGAAATTCATTATTTTAAACAATTCTTCGTGGGCGAGCTGTGCGAGTGTGGATAGAATTTCTGTGCGAATGAATGAAAATATCAAAAGGTTAGTACTGCAATTGCATTTTATTAATTTACTGCATAGAATTTGGAAATTTACTGCTAGTTATGGGGGAATTTTAAGATACAAATTTTCATCATATGAATATTTACTGCTTTTGGGGGAAAATTTTATAAATTAATTTACTGCATTGGTATTATATTTATTTAATTGTTGGTGCACAAGTTTAATAGGGTTTTTAACAGTTTTGAAGAAGTTTGCTATTTTTTATTTTTCTTTTGTGAATTTTTCAGATGATCTAGGATGAAGGCTAAAAATCTAAAGAAAACATGAATAAAGAATGGTGAGTTTTTTCAATATTTTAATTAGTTAGTAATATTCACTTAATTCATACTTACCTGTTAGTCGTCGGGGAAAAAACCGTGGGGGAAGATATCGTGAATTAGTTCTGAAGTTGTTAGTAGTTTAGCTAAGATGCGGATGATATTTTTAGTTTGAAGCAGTGGCCAAAGCAATTGAAGTGCCTTAATAGTGGTTAGTTCTTCAGTGCCTACTGCAAACTCATAAGGTGTGTTTTGGATTAAGTTATATAATTTGTGGTTAAATTTAGTGTTGTGGATGAATTCTAAAATTGGGATCTCTATAGGCTGTACAAACTCGTGCGGGATAAGGAAGGGTCGGGATTCTTCGGCGTTGAAGGTCTTGGTGATGGGGCAGAAAATATACATTTGGGTTATGGGGTCGTAATTACGAAGAATACCATGGAGGTTAGTGTCTTTAATACAATATGTGAAATTTAGGAAATACGGTGAAGTGTATTTTGAATTGATGAATTGGAAACGATGGTGTGGTTGTCTAGAGGGTGTGTGGAGGTCAAAGTGATTTTGGATGAAACGATAGTAACTGTATGTATGTGTTTGTTTAGTGCGCAACATAATATCGTGTGAGCAGTGTAAATCTCTTTCGTGTGGTGCAAGGAAATGAAAGGTTAGTGAAAAGATTTGGAAGCGTTCTTTAAAACTTTCGTATGCTTGTGTGTTTGTTAGTGCTTCTGAAATAATGTGATCAAACTTTCGGTCGAAAATGTTTAGTGTAAATACATATGGTGTCTTGATGAAAAATTTCTCGGTGATTTGTGGATTAGCGAAGCGATCGTCGTCTAAGAATTGATCTTGGTTAGCTCTGATGATGTTGTGATCGTAGTATTCTAGTGTATATTCATTAGCTCTAGGTGCAGTGTGTATTTTTAGTGATTTTTTATATCCTACGTAAGTAAACTGTCTAGCGGTGAGTGGTGTAGTTAGTCGATATAGCATATCTTTGTTTCGGTCTGTATCGATGGAAGTGTTGGTTAAAGGTAAGCAAAGAGGGTTAGTGAAATGATAGTATGAGGTCCAAGAGAGAGTGGGCATTAAAACGTATTCGTCTACAAAGTTGCGTGTTTCGTTAGCGTCATGAGGGGTGTTTAAGGTGTATTGTGGAAATGAGGGTAAAGTGATAGCTAAAAATTCTTTGGTGTTAGTATGTTGGGGGTGGTTGATGTATTCACGGGCTGTTCCTGGTTTTGCTGGGAAAGGATGGTTGGGGAACTTTCTTTTAAAAGTGCGGTAAGCTCTATTAGTGTTGAGTGAGGATTCAGTTGATGTGGATGATGGTGCTAATGATTCAGTATAATTTGAAGAGGGTGTAGGGGGATTGGATGAATTTGTAGTGGAGGAGATTTGGTTTATGGTCGGGGTGTTAAGGTGGTAGGGTTGTTGTTGGAGGGTAATAAAATTGTCTAGCTCTGGGGAGATTCGGGGGGTGTCTGGAGATGATTGGTCAGAATGGTATGAGGAATAGGTTGGGGTAACTTGGGAAGCATAAGAGGGTGTGGGAGTGATTGGGTCAGGGTTATTTGACAATATGGGTTGAAAAGGAGGTTGAGAAAAATGAGAAGGGTTATGAAAATTATTGGATGGAGATGGTTCTGAGTCGGCAAATTCATCGGGGGTTTCAATATTCGGATTATTTAGCTGTGAAATGGAGTATAAAACTGAAATTTGTGAGTTAGTGTCGGAATTCATGCCTGATGTTACATTGCTAGGTGGAAAATCGGGTGGCGGAAAAGCAAAAAGTGGTATTATTGGGATTGAAGAAGGAAGGTTGGTTGGATGGGAATTTGATCGATGGAGTGATCCAAGTTGGCGGCTCATCGTGGGCT